GTACTTGGAGCAGTCAACACAGACACCATATAATTAAACAGAAAGTTTTAGTAAAATTCATTTTGTACTTGGAGCAGTCAACACAGACACCATATAATTAAACAGAAAGTTTGAGTAAAATTCACTTTGTACTTGGAGCAGTCAACATTGGCACCATATAATTAAACAGAAAGTTTGAGTAAAATTCACTTTGTACTTGGAGCAGTCAACATTGGCACCATATAATTAAACAGGAAGTTTTAGTAAAATTCACTTTGTACTCGGAGAAGTAAACATTGACACCATATAATTAAACAGAAAGTTTTAGCGAAAGTCACTTTGTACTCAGAGCATATAATTAAACAGAAACTTTTAGTAAAAATATTTAAATAAAAATTCTTATTTTTTGTTTACAAAAGACATGATGGTTATGAGGTGCTGCAAAATATATCACCCCGTGGTGAAAGGGTTAATTCATGACTAACTGCAGAAGATTTTGGAACTCTAGTGATACAATAAAATTTGTCATGATGAATCACAAGGATTTAACTAAGGTTTGTGAAACTTCATTATGAGAAATGGTTTCTGTGGTTTTCTTGAGCACCCCTTGTTTATCACAGGTATAAAATACAAGTAACTACTACAATGTTATTATCAGTTTTTAGCTGTAACTGAAGAATGTACTGAAGCAATCTTTCTTATAGCCTGAAGGTAATTTTAATTTTATATGGTTATAGATTAAAATTGGGGAACTGTATTACTTTAATAATATATCAAAACAAGCACATCTATTTTAACAGAGACGTTAAAATATCAAGATGTGTGACGTATACAGTTGGATTTTTTTGCTTGTGCAATAATCAAGACAATGTTATCTTCGAAACCAACTGACAAACAACAAGCAGTAATGAAACTGTATATTTTGGTCTCAACATACTGGTAAAAAGAGTTTAACTGTTGCCGATTTTTGTGTGTGAATGATAACTAGACAGCTAATTTACCACAAAAACACTCAATGCTTGAGAATTTTAAGAAAAAATTCAACTTCCTCTTCTCTACTAAACTAATTACCTAAGCTCTTGTCATTTTCCCTGTGGACACTTTAAGTCAAATAGTCACTCTTTCTCTCAGATTATGGCAAAGCTTTACACTTTATTATTGTTTTCAATTGGACCAGTTGGTAATCTGAGTTTGTTTAGAAGTAGTTTCTTGTTATAGGTAGTGAAATAAATGTAATTGCTTTTTCTTCTGTAATTGGTAGAAACTTTGTTATGAATGTTAGAAATTTTTTGTAATTTTCTAGAGGTGTCCAGCTGAAGAATCCTTTCTACAGCATCTGGGTGACAGACCTGGGAACAAATTTGGCTGTATCCTTTGTTGTGTTCATAACCATAATTTTAAACTGTAGGAATTGAAATTAGTAGTGGTTACCTGGCAAAATAACAGTGGATTTTAGTATTTATCCTAATTCTTCATACAGTATCTGGGTGGCAGGACAGACTTGGGGAAAAACTTGGCTGTATTCTCTGCTTTATTCATAAAATATGAAATTGACAGTGGCTAGCTGTCAAAAAAAAATAGGTTTTAGTGTTTAAGGAGTAGGTACTTCAGGCATTATAATTAATATTCAAATCAGTTGTAAACAGTGGTCAAAATTATTATAAAAAAAAAACTAGTTGCTACCACAACATTTATAAGAAAAATCATACTATTATAATTGATTGATAAGCAAAGAAATATTCTTTTTCAAGGGGACCTGGACCGCTACAAGGTTTTAAGTATTACAAGATAATCTGTCTGATCAGTGTAGCTGTGTTTACATGTTATAAAGTAATAATTATTCAATATATAAACAGTTGTTTAAAAAATGAAAACTATTTTGGCTAATAATAATACAGTAGTTTTGTGATTGGATTCAATAATTCTATGAACCTTAAATGCTTGACCTAGAATATTGATCAAGTTTAACTTATTTTGTGACCACCTTGTTGAAAAACCTTTTGGGCATCAAATGTCATTTTCTATGATTTATTGATACATATTTTTTAAAATGCTTGAATAATATTTCAGACATGAAAAACAAAATATTTCTTTCAAAGATTTTGTAAGTGATTGTAATTTGAATATTTTGATTAGCTTAGGTTTTCTGCTTAGAATATCTGTTGTCCAGACTTGATTAAAATCTGTATTTGTGACAAAATTCATATAAAGTTAAAGGTTATATAAGTACTTAAACTCTGCATCAGTATTACTACTACTACTAGGTCATTTTTTTGTTATGAGAGAAAAATAATTATAGTTAAAGATTTACTACAAATGAAAGGATGTTACCTAGGACACAACACAAGTGTGGGGTAATGTTACCTAGGATACAACACAAGTGTGGGGTAATGTTACCTAGGATACAACACAAGTGTGGGGTAATGTTACCTAGGATACAACACAAGTGTGGGGTAATGTTACCTAGGATACAACACAAGTGTGGGGTAATGTTACCTAGGATACAACACAAGTGTGGGGTAATGTTACCTAGGATACAACATAAGTGTTGAGTTTAATGATTCCATTTGTAATGATTGTAAAGCTATATTTCCAGGTTTTAAAACATTTCTTTCTCTGCACAAGTAAAATTCTTAATAGTATTTTGGGAAATCAAGTGTTTCAAATATCTTTACACATGAGAAATAACAAACTTAGGAGTATGTAACTTCCACTGTTGTACAACAGTCAAGTGCTTTCACACTGCTGCTGTAATTATGTGAACAAGTTCCCAGTTTTATATACAACAGCGAAGTGCTTCCACACTGCTCCTGTAATTATGTGAACAAGTTCCCAGTTTTATATACAACAGTCAAGTGCTTCCACACTGCTGCTATAATAATGTGAACAAGTTCCCAGTTTTATATACAACAGTCAAGTGCTTCCACACTGCTGCTATAATAATGTGAACAAGTTCCCAGTTTTATATACAACAGTCAAGTGCTTCCACACTGCTGCTATAATAATGTGAACAAGTTCCCAGTTTTATATACAACAGTCAAGTGCTTCC